AACATTAAATGCTTTAACTGTCTGCAATCTCTCTTTTTTTGGTTGCAGATCAAGAAGTACTTTGAGCTGGAGCCGCTGGCCCGAGGGAAGCGCTGGATCCTGGAGGGCAGCGCTATCGACAACATGGAGGCAGTGAAAGAAAGCTTCGGTCAGTTCATTAGCCTGTTGGAGGACAAAGACACAGAGCCTGCAAGGATATGATGCTAATGCTAAGAAACATTAGCGTCTAACGGCAAAGAAACGCCACATCCTATTGGTGCCCTTGTACACACACCCCTGCACAGACAAACATGTACACTCAAGAAAGTAGAGCAGATGCTGCCATCACTCTTCAAGATGTACGTATATTGTATGTTATCCTTCCTTCACTGTGGTCTTATTTTTCACAATAGAAGAGTGTACACAAGCGACAGTCAGCTGCTCCAGCCTGACAGAGGAGAGTCCACCCAACGAAAAGCAGTTTGTCCAGAAAAACATCTTTGAACTTTGTGGTTAAACCAGTGACATTTGGGATGTCTGGCATTTCTATAGACATCACTGGACTCAAACACACACACACGCATACACTGTCACTCTTTGATACACAAACACTACCACACACAAAGCGGAGTCCAGGTTGTCTGTAGATATGTTTAACATTTCCACTAATTGCTTTCCAGGATGTTTCGGTGGGCACAGTTGATATTCTTTCCACTCAGAAGTGTTTCTCCTTTCAGCTCGATAACTACAAATACCGTTGTGTGATTGGATCAGATAGTCCAAAGCTTCATGTTATGTATGGTAGTTACATATCAGTGTGTCACACCGTGTCAAAATATCTAATCTGAGTACTGTAGACTGAGTATCTCATGTAGTATTATGTACATGCAAATGAGTATATTGCTGCGTACATTACTGTGCATCCATACACAGTTACTACTAGTCATATGACTAAGTGCTACAGTAGGTGACTTCATGAGATGCGAGTCCGTGTGGAGAAGGCGGGAACAAGTCTGAATGCTTTTATAAATAAAACTTAGGATATATTTTATAGCTCTTTATGTTAACCACGTAGAGCTGCGTTTAGATTTTTTTTTTATATATATATCATAACACACTGAGAAATTCTTTCAGATCAATGACCAAAAGAGAGAGAGGGGGAAAAAATCGGTGATGATTGACCAGGCCAGATGTAGCCATAAGGTAGAGAATGAATTTAGTTTCATTTCACTGTGCAAATGTCATGCTAGTTTTGTTTTTCTGCATTTTTACTGTATTCTTTTCCTTTCGAGTTTGACATAATCCCTCTCAGTACTGGCTAGCGGCTCCAGCCTCCCATCAGGGTGGAATACAAACTATCAATCAGCCCCAGCAACAGCTGCATCTGACAAGTCCCTGTCCGACACCCTAATGCCTTCCAACTGTCTGTGAAGACCCCTCCCTGTCTGCTGTTTATCACAGACCCCTGCCCCACCTCATCCCAAACCCTTCCAGCCAACAGTGCCCCTCCACTCCAGCACCGCTCCCTGCCCCCCCCCTGTCCTCATTACCGCCCAGTGGGGTTTTTTTTTTTTTTTTTTATCCCAGACGCCATCTTTCAGCCTGGCTGCTGTTGTGTGGACTCCACACCTTTAAAATGAATCATGGTATCATGGTCATTGTGCCACAGGTGTGTAGCTGTCCCCGATAATGGATTAATGTTCAGACCTCCTCAGTGTGTGCTTTGTGTTTTTGTAGTGATTGTATTGTTTGGTATTTAGTCAGGTTTTGAGACTGAATCACTTTGTGTACCTGGCGTGAGGTCTGTCAGGTAGTTTTCTACGGTCTGGATGGATCAGTGCATTTGGCCGCAGCATAAATCTTTATATACCAATGTTGGTATACTAGTGTTAATATCACACACTCACACATAGGTTTTAAACCAATCTGTTTTGTTTTATGTTTTTGTATTTTTTATTCAATCATACATTTAATCTAAAATGGCAATTAAAGTTTTAAAAAGTAATATTTTGTCTAACTTGTTATTTAAATGTTGATTACTTTTACTTGTTAAAATGTAGTAAAAATATTTAACATCTGAATGTCACTTTGAACACCATATCACTTTATTGTTAATGTGCTACCGTATAATGGGAGGATGGTTGACAGGCTCTACGGTAGGTTTGTTAAACTGTCTGTGCTTCTGTAACAGTTTAGCTCATGTTTGTAACATTTCATCTGTTTGTGAAAGCAGAAATTCAGTTATACCTGGTATGATTCTTAGGTGTGTTTTATGTAAATGTTTGTACAATTTAATAATCTTCATGAATCAGTATGAAATGTGTGATGAGTTGAATGTTTGCATATGTTTCTGGAAACATTTCCTCACAGTGTCTCTGATTTGTGATTTAAGGTGGCCTGTTGAGGTCTGAGCTGCTGGAAGATAATTGGGAAAACATAGATGAACCAGTGGAGGTCAAGCCAAAGTTTGACCAGAAAAAAAGTGCTCAAAGTCAAAGTAGAGAAGCTAAAGAAAGTTTTGAGTGGAAGGTTAACTGAGAGCGACAGGAGGAGTACCTTTCTCCTCTTCCAATACTCCTCACTGTGTTTTTCTGTCTCTACAGTTGATTTGATTCCCTTGAAAAAGATGCAGCCAGTCTTCTCCTCCCACACTGGACCTTTACCTGCTCCACTTTAATAGCTGGTGTCTGGCAGCATTGTTGGGCAGTTTTTTGTCTCGTCCATTTTGGGGGCAGATCCTCGGTGTGGTAACAGATAAGAAGCTACAAAGTTGTTACATTATTGATGTTGTGTGCTAATACAGGTCTGACCTTTCTAATCAGTCTGTGCTAACAGTTTCATTACCAAGCAGCGGTAACAGAGACGGGATGTTCACTGTGATGGTTACATTATCTCAAACTTTCAAGTCGCTGCAAGTTGATCTATAATTCACTAAAATTAGGGAGGCCTAGGGGGGAGGAAAAGCACTGCATGAAAGTCTAATTATTGGCCGTAATACAAAGTGGTGTGCTTTGTAACAAAATAGTGGTGCATGAAGAATGCCATTTAGAGAATGCCTGAGCAAGACACGGCACAAAAGCAAGCAGATTAGACTATGAAGTAAAGTGCAAACCTCTTGACTCTGAACAATTATGTCTTGTATGAAACCACAGCCTCTATCATAATTTATTCTCTTTTTGCCCCATCAAATATCACTTGTGCCACATTTTCTCTTTTTCAGCACAACCCAAGCACGACTCCCCCAACAATAAATAAATAGGCAAGTGTGTTTTCACTTTTTGTTTTACCTCCAGTAATCACAGACACTTTTTAAAAATGGTTAAAGTATACATTGTGTATTTTCTGCTGTCTGTATTTAAAATAGCATCTAGTGATCAACCCAAGTAAAGAAAATGCAAAGCGGAGAGCAGAATAAATCCTGCCCAAATAGTACATTTACACAAAGGTGTAAAATATGAACAAAAACTTATTTGTAATATCACATCAAATGTTGTTTGACAGAATTAGGATACATGTCCAGTAAACAGTGCATCCAAAGAGCATTTATATGCTTATGTTCAATATTCTTAATTTCTGTTCCTTTTTTTGTTGTTGTTGTTGTTTTGAGCTGACAAAATGTTGGACTGTACCTCATAACAGAATACACAATATTATATAAAGCAACATGACAAGAATTGCATTGACAGGATCTAAAATTTACTTTTGGATTTTTTTTTCTTTAGTTGGGAAGCATTATTTAATTAATTCAAGATGATTAAGATTCACTGAATTTCTCATATTTTGTCAGACAAGGGCAAATGTGTGCTACATACAGCATAACAACCCACCAGAAATACAAATGCAATCACACACGCACAACAAAATGGCCCCTATGAGCTTTGTGAAATGCAAATGTGTGACCTGACAGGGAACCTAACTTTCGTTTACAAGACAAACAAAAGCAGGCATGTTTTCTTAAACTCTGCAAAGAATGCCCTTTTCTCTCTCCGTCTTCTCCTTTCTTCTGTCCAGTGTGTGTGGTGGCATTTCTGCTGATAAGACCCAACCAGGAGGTGGAACAGATGTTGCCCTGACATCCATCTGGGCCTTGTACCGCGGCTCTGCCTCCCACAGCCGATGCTCCAAGCAGGGCACCCCACACTCCCGGCCCTTCACAGCAAGGGGTCATTTCCAGTGGAAAAAAAGAAAACAAGCTGTTCTTCTCGGGATCCTCAAGCAGTGACGCAGCACAGAAATCCACCTTGATGCTGCTTTCACTCAAGGTGCACATGCATATGTGTGTGAGAGAGATAGCGGTCAGTTATCAAACACGACCTCTGGGTTCATTTGAGGTGTTTCCTCTTTGTTCCAACACTCTCCTGCCTTCATGGCACTCCCTCACACACACACACACCCCTTTGAAAAACAAACACAAATGATGGAACTGCATTGATATGATGTAAGCTAGTGAAGAAATGTTCCCTGAACCAAATGATTCTTTCCAGATATGTGAGACAATTGCTCCAAACAGTCACAAAATCTGCAGCGCTTTAACAGTCTGACTCCTGTCACAACACATAATTTAACTTCCCTAAATTGACCACCACAGGGGTAGTTTAGTTTGTCATGAAGGTGTATGAACCAGGTTGTCCAGTTCATGTCAACCTCATGTCAGGTTTATTTGAATTTGATAGATTAATAGAAAGCAGCTGTGGATAAATAGTTGGTCTGGTGTGAAACCGTAAGGTTTTCTACACTCTATGTTGTAGCACATGGTCAGAACTTTGGGTTATTTTAAATGAATGTAAATTTTCTTTGAGGAATATAAAGAAATTCTAAAAACATACATGCTCTAGGTAATAAAAATAGCTTATCCAGTAAAATGCTTCTGAAATGTATTAAAGCCTTTCTTCTCACCAAACCAAATTAATCTTTCAGTTTTTGTTTTACTTATGAAAATAAAACATCCAGTGATTTACCAGTAACAAACAGGTGTTTTATCTGTTTTGAGTTTTCAGATGTGCAGCAGGAGATTCCTCAGAGCTGATACTGAATTTAAAGAGTTCCTCCTGTCATGCATGTGATCCCACAGGTTTGTGTTCAAGCGAAACTAATGAATGGTTCAAAAACCTGATAAAATCCTCAAAAGTTACACCTGTGTCGAGCACCCTTTGCAGCAACACGCAACAATCAGTATTCAACTTGACACACTTGATTTTTTTTTTCTTCATGGTGCTTTATGGGTCTCGAACCCTTAATAGTTTCAGTTTTGTTAGATTTAATGTAAGGATTATGACACACAAGCCTGTTTGAGTAAATTCAATCAGTCTCAGTGTATTTAAAGCTACAGTATCTAATTTTATTCAGTTATTTTAGTTGTAGAAATCTGTTCCAAAATGTAATGTGGAGAGGTGCTGTCGAAGCCTCCTGTGTCCCAGACTCATTGAACAGCCTAGCCTAGCTTCTAAAAGGTTTTGAGCAGGTTTGACCACTCTAACCAGTCAAATTTCTAATTATTTGTGCTTGATCAGTAAGTTTTGTTGCATTTTCATTTCTTGTCATTTCATAATGACATCTGAACATCTGGGCAGACTGTGGCAGATATGAAGTAGATCATAGTGGAGCAGGGAGAGGGAGCACTGGGCGGAGCAGAGTAGATTGATTTAGAGTTTCATGCTACGCTACCTTAAGTTACATACTGTAGCCTTAAGTCAGAAGTGGAAATAGAGGATATTAGTCAGTTTGGACAATGAGGGCCCCAATCACACTAGTCTAGGATGCCTGGTAGCTCAGACTTTCTCATTATGACTCAGCTTTTTGTTATTTTTTAACATAAGAGTGCATAACCTGTCTTAAATGTGTTTATTTCTGGAACAGATCTGGCCTAATGAGCGCTCTGCCTTCCCAGACTTCATCCACTCCTGCAGATTTACAAACCAGGATCTTCACAAATTCAAGTGAAAAATCAGCTCTGCAGCTGATCCACACCAGCTAAATCCTCACAGGTGATGATGTTTAGATGATAATGATTAGATTTTACTTATGTGTACTTTTTATGCACTGTAGAACTTCTGGATCTCTCTTTTTTCTGGTCCTACTCTAGAGCAATGAAAATCAATGCTATAAACTTTAAAAGATCTGCCAGGCTGTTGGATCACTAAACCTCTGAACTGATATCGACTTGTAAACACTGGTGGAAGTATTCAGATCTTTTACTTATGCAAAAGTAGCAATACATCAAATTAAAATAAAAAGCAGCAGTACTTACAATATCATTTTTTTAAAAAGTAGTAGAATGACCCTTTTAATTTTGTCATTTTACTGGATTATTATTGTGGTTGTAAAACCATATGTGATATTTTATGTTGTAGCTGATTTAAGTAAGAGAGATTTAGCTACTTCATATAGTGTGGGTTAGTTTAATCTGTACCAATGCATCATATTTTATGAGGTAGTTATATTTTTATGTAAACCATTGATGTTTAACTAGTAACTCTAGCTCCCAAATAAATTGTAAGTGCAGTATTTGCCTCCGATCTATAGTTATAAATAAGCATAAAGTGCAAATCCTCAAATAAAATACAAATACCTGAAATTTGCACATAAGTAAATGGACTCACTTTCCACCGCTTTATTTAAAAACCTTGCAACTTGTGAATTTTTTTCAACTCAGGACAGTGCTACGGTGAAGAAACTGAGGAACCCATGCTGTGCAATTCTACTCGGGCCCTTTGTGGCCACCTAAGCGCCTCTTGTTTTTTCTGCCTGTTTTGAATGCCTTGTCTGTTGGGTGACTTCCGTGGGATTCCAGCAGGCTTGTCACTCAGATTGTTTGTCCTGGGGACGAAGATCTGTGTGAGTCCTGTTTCTCTTCCTCTCTCCTCGGCCCGAGTGCTGATGGAGACCTGCATCCCAGGTGGCCCACACATCAAAACAAGAAGGATCGCAGCTCTTGGTTTTAAGACAAACATCACTCACTTTCTTTGTTGTCTGAGGGACAGGGGGCATAGCGGTTTATCTCCAGAGGATCTCCCCTGCTATCGCCTTCCACCAGATCACTGCCCCATCCCACAGGAGCCGCTAAAAGCAAATGTCAGTCAAAGAGTAGGCATTGCATTCCTTCAAAAGGTCAATTATAGTTGTGGCCACTCTGTTGCATGCTTAAATAAGTATACAGAGACTGTTTAAAAATCTTTCCAAAACCTTCTGATCCAGTTAGAGATTTATTTCCTTGGTCCAAAACAAAGCCACAGCAGCTGATTTTGTTCTCTTTAATTTAAATCCCTCTGTTCAGTGACACCTCTGTTGCACTGAGTCCTTGTTTTGAAGATCTCCTAAAGATCCTTTTTACATAACGACCACACACAGCCCAGTCTGAGCCTGATTTGGAATGTCTCGGGCCGGGTGATGGTGATCCAGTATCAGCTCTCGCAGTGTAGCAGCTATTGACCCATCTGTGTGCAGGTGATTCCCGCTCCAGTTTTCCCCTTCCAGGCCTATAAGGAGCACCGTGTCTAGGAGACTTTTATGAGAGTGACCTTTGCATGCCCGTCTCAAGTGCTCTGTTTACTAGGGTCCCCGTCCCACTGATAGCCATCAGACTTTTCATTTTTAACTAGTGACTCTCTTGTCATAACTGTTTGAAGATTGACAGGCACTGTGCTTTGACCATCCTCTCTGTGGAGAATTTACTCTCACTGCCCTGAAAGACGGCGAATAACAAAAGGGAGGGCTCTGACACGCACTGCCTTGTCCCTACAGGAGAGTCGGATGAACAGCTGTGGTTTGGCTGCATTCTGATGTTTCGTGTAGTGCACACACCAGCTTTAAATGAATATCAACACGAAGCATCAGGAACGACAGACATGGGTGTAAAGGTTTCGGTGACACAAGCTGAAACTAAAATAGAGCTTTTCCCCATGTGATATTATTTTATTCTAACACAACACAAGTGACATTTGCTGTCCTTAATCTTAGTTTTATGAGCTGTGAACTTTGATGACTTCTATCACGAGCCACCGCGGTAAATGTTTTGTTAGAAGCAACAGGTGATTAATCAGTCACTAATATGTAGTAAATATTTAATTGTTGACTATAAATTTGACTTTGTTTATACACTGTGGTCTGTTTGCTGTGCTGTGTGGCACTGAGCCAAGCACTGTAGGTGGATTAGCTCATTGAATCCAAACAGTTTATGGGGAAAGCAGCACCGCTGACGACACTATGTGGGCAGCTTGCAGCTCTCAAAATACAAACGTTCCATGTGAAAGCCAGAATTGAGAAAAGGTGTCTTTCACAGGGACAATCTAGTAAACACGGTCGCTGCGCAGAGAGAGAACACCTGTGTTTTACCAAAGTTTTGGAACGGAGCAGTTTATTCACTGCCGGAACCATATTTGGTCGAGCGCAGGTTTAATGTTGCACTTCCAGCGATGACGAAACACACCCTGACTCATGCAGGAAAGCGCAAAGTCAGTCACAAGTACAATGTGGAACAGGAGAAGGTGAACAGTGTGGAGCTGAGATGGTTCAGCTCTGCAGGAGGAGCAGGCTACAGACACAGGGTAGAAAGCAGGAACCAGCTACAGTGTTATGGATTACAGTTAAATGTCAGCAAGTACATGTAAGATTAGATTTGCTTAGTGAGGTTAGCTGGAAGGACTCTTTCTTTAAGTTGGCAGTGGAATACAATGTGTACTTACCAAATGATGTTGACAAAGCAGAATCAAGTTATTCTTTGATTTTAAGTCACTTACTACATGATAATTTCCTAGGAAAATAATAATTCACTTGTTTTAGTTGAGTATAGTTACTTGTGTTGAGTTTATAAGCAGTTATAGACTGCCAGTAGATATTCCTTTAAAAAACACATCCAGTATATAAGTATTGTAACTTTATTCTCTGTGTTTATCTGTAGACAAATTCTGGGTTTTTGCATGGTCAGCTAATGTGGGGCGAGTTATTTTATTTGAGAAGAGAAGTGAGATTAAAGTATATAGACTTATGTATGCCAAAAAACAAAAACCTTAACTAATTCTATTCATATCTACTTAAAAATAAAAATCACCCTAACACTAACCTGCCCTGCCCTGTGCAGACAGTAAATTGTAGTATTGTATACCATTTAGGCAGCACGGTGGCACAGTGGTTAGCGCCGTTGCCTCACAGCGAGAAGGTTCCAGGTTCGGGCCCCACCTGGGACCTTTCTGTGTGGAGTTTGCATGTTCTCCCCGTGCTTGCGTGGGTTCTCTCTGGGTGCTCCGGCTTCCTCCCACTGACCAAAGACATGCAGCTTAGGTTGATTGGTGTCTCTAAATTGCCCATAGGAGTGCGTGCGTGTATGTGTGGTTGTTCGTCTATGTGTTAGCCCTGCGATGGATTGGTGACTTGTCCAGGGATTTACTTCGCCCGATTGCCGGCCGGGATTGGCTCCGGCCCCACCCGTGACCCCGTTCAGGGACTAAGCGGTAGAAAATGAATGAATGAATATACCATTTATCAAGTTACAGAGCTCTTTGTTAACCGTGTATTAGGAAATTACAGTTATTCTAATAAGCCTCAGCATAGTTTTATTTAAAAACAATTATTCAGTCAATGCTTTTTTCCAACTCAGTGTAGAGAAAAATCCACAGGATAAACCCCCTGATATTATTTAACACATTAGTTGTTTTAACACCGACCAAACTGATTAAGGTACAGGACTAAATAAACCCACAGTGTCAATAGTCTCCACATTTTGAAATATAACGAAAGTCTCCAATCCAGTGTTTTGGGATCACATGGCAATGCTTCCTCTGCATTTACTGATGTTCCCAGGACTGAGCCAAGACGTCCTCTTATGGGATTAGCCAATAGAAGAAGAAGAAAATACATGTACAGTATGGCTGCTTGGTCGACCTGCCAGAGGGTGACTCACTGAGCAGCAGCTGTGGAGTCAGCTCGTTTGGTTCCTTTCAGAATATTATTTTTGTCCAAATTTATTGGATAACTTGAAAAAAATTTCACAATAATTGTAGATTTTTGATTATTACCTCTCAACTTAATAAAATTTCTAATGTTAACTCTAATAATAATCCGTGCCTGGATATATAGATTTAAATCTTAACATTTAATTGAAATAATTTTCATTTTAAAAAAGGTTGGCTACTCCATGAATCTCTAGATACACATACAAAACTCAGTTATAGAATAAACTACCCAACAGTAGATAAAGTAATTATTAAGTAAGATTAAGTAATTAAATCAGCTCCATTTCAATCAGAAGCAACAATAATGTTGCTTTTATATTAATACACCAGTCATAATAATGATCCAATAATACATTATATTCTAGAACTGCACACCACACACAGGGAACTTTTAATTTTGGTACTTAAAGTACATTTTGTAACAATATTCAAGTACTTTTACTTCAGTAATATTTTGCATGCAGACTGGAGTATACAGTGTCATGTACAACATATTTATATCATTGATTCCTGCTTTAAACAGACATTAATAAGACATTTTTGATCCAAGCTACAACTATAAAATCAGTTATAAATGTGCAAGCAAGCAGCACAACAAACTTATACCTCCCCAAAAAAGCAAAAAACTAAATTAAAGAAGTGAATTTAACACTTTTCACCTGGACAAAATAAACACAATGAGCTGCTTAAGGTTGAAGGAGTGACATTCTTGAATTCTCCTCAGTCTGTCTCTCCTGGTTGGTGCCCTACAGGCAGCCCCCCCCCCCAGACCCAGGCCCCTCCCAGCCCCTCCAAATCAGCCTGGTTCACATACACAAGATTAAGTAGCAAAAGTGACATCCAAGACCAATTGGGCCACCCAAGAGAACCGCAACCAGCGGAAAGGCTGTCAGAGCTCCCTTCTGCGACATTAATCTTCAAGCCTCTCCTGCACTGCCAACTCAGATCTCCTTCAAACAGGACAGGGAGGTAGAAAGCTGAACTCTTCCTCCTTGAAGGTTTTCTCCTCTCCATCAGTAAACTCTTTGGGGGACAATTCATTGTCACCCGCCATGTGCCAGACAGCTTCAAACACTGGCAAAATGAATTACTTTCCCAGACATGTTTTTCTAAACTTGTTTTTAATTTGGCAGTGAGGAGATTAGTGTGGACCTATGCTCAATTTGTAATTGACCTAAATGTTTTCATAAAGAAATGAGGCAGAAATCACATGGATCATGATACTTTACAGTGATTTATGCCTGAGAAAACTACTCATAATGTTTGTGGAGATCTTTAGAGACACTTCTTTGTCCTGTTCCACCCATTAATAAGACGTTAACATTCAGCAGTCTGAAACAGAGGGCTGTTAAACTGGACATGTGCTAACAGAGCTACATGAACCAACTCAGCGAACCCTTTTTGTTTTCTTTCGTGACCATCTTTGATCTTTTCACGATAGCTCTGTGGTGTGTGTTTGTGTGTGTGTGGTGAGTTATCCTGACTTTCTTGGGGGGTGGTGTCACATCCAAACTGATAGCGGTGTGAATGGCAAAACATAAAAGATGAATACAGCGAGTGATAAATAGCGGAACACTAGTGTGTTATGCTGTGGATGCCTTCAGTCCCAGGAGAGATCCTTCCTAACCCCAGCCTTTCTTCTGCCGAGACCTGAGAAGCAAAGGGGGACGTCGCGCCCAATAGTAGTGTTCCTTTGAAGAGTGTAACGCTGAAATCGAGCAGCATGCCTCAAATACTTCCTGCTAGTTTTCAGTGAGTAACTCGGCATATGGCTGGAAACCTAAAGTAAAAGATTAGTTTGGTAATATTTGATATTTTGTTCTGATTAACAAGTGTTGCCTGAAATACAGTAAACAACAAAACTGAGTCCAGTCCACTTATTCAGTATCACTAAATTGTTAAATGATTGAAAATTCTTATAATGAATGTTTTATTTTTAAGTTTAGGTGCAGAGTATTTCATCTTATGCAGTGGTGGAAAGTAACTAAGTACATTCACTCAAGTACTGACCTTAAGTACAATTTTGAGATGCCTACTTACATTTCAGAGAAAAATATTGTGCTTTGTGCTCACTGCATTGATTTTATAACTTTAGTTACTAGTTACATTTCAGAATCTGATGAATAAAAAAACAAAATGCATTATAATAAGACTTTGTTGATCTTCAATGTATAATTCACAAGCGGCGCAGCAGTATGCAAAGTACTTCAAATTATACGATAAGATAGTTAAAATTAGCTCCACCTTTACCAGCTAGAACATTAAATGTTATGAACACAATAATGCATCAATAATAGGGTATATATTAATGTGAAATGTGCCATTCTGCACAATGAGTACTTTTACATTTGGTACTTTAAGTACATTTTATGCTAATACTTTTATACTTAAGTAACATTTTGAATGCAGGACTTTTATTTGTAGCAGTATTTTTACACTGTGGTACTGTTACTTTTACTTGGTAAACAATCTGAATATCTCTTCCACCACTGATCTCATACAGTATGTCTTTAAAAACCATATGGTTAGATAGACAACATTGAAACTACAGGCCCAAAAGTAGAACCCTCAGTGCAACACAAGTGAGCACACCTGTGATTTCCAGCCTACAAAGGAACCCCACAGCTTTCCCAGTTTGAGTCTGGGTTGTGTCTAATGCAGCATGGCTCCACATGGTAAGAAACTACCTGAGCAATATGAAATCAGAATGTGAAGCTCCATTGTTGTCTAAAAACTACTGGAAACACATCAGTGAGCTACGCTGTTTCACTGGGCGACATGTTCCTTCATTTTGAGAAACATGGGCTCTGTAGTTTATGTGCAGCTGAAAACAGTGCACGGTTTACTCCTGTTTTGAGTGATGTTTGCTAAAAATTCACGCTCAGTTATATTGTAATTTCTTTTTCTTTAAAGCAAAGTTTAAATCATTGGCCCTTTTTAAAGGTTTGTCTTCAGTACTGTTGGAACAATCAAGAGTTAAACAGGATCCAGCAGTCAAAAAGAACTGTGATGGAGAAACATACTGTTGCTTTAGTTCTTTTCACTGGAGCCAGTATATATTTATCTTTTACCATATCGTTTGAAGGGTTCGTTTTCTGACTTGCATCTCGTCACATCCGGCCGTGCAGACTGGTCTGGTTTTTTATTTGTCCAGAATTTGAGATCCAGTATCGGTCAGTCGACCAGCGTAACTGGGTCGCCATTTCTGGAAAATAGTCTTGCTGTTGATTGTTTTGTTTTGTTTGTTTGTTATTGTTGTTTCTGGGGGGGGCACCACAGATGAAACTCCATTCACTTCCACTGTATTGGGAACACAGTAGGAATCTAAGTTAAAAAACTGTAGCAATAAAGCCACTATCATGGTTTTACTATACTGATGTAAAAGTAAAGTTTCCATTTAAAATAACCAGAAATGAATGTCTGTGTTTGGCTAAGCTAAATAAATTCACCATCTGTCAGGTCAGAAAACCGGGGGGAGTACATGTTCTCACAGTAAGTCATCAGTCCTCATAGTGCTCAGCTCTTTAGGTCTCATTTGGCAAAAATATGGAGTTAATAGGACATAGTTGCTTTTGTGGTCTCACTGTACAGAGGATAATAAAGGACGCAAGAATAATACACAGCACACTGGAGGTAAACAGGTTGTTTTCAGTGTTGCTTGCTTTGAGTTTTTGTTTGGATAGACAGAAGTCGTCATCATCATCATCATCATCATCTGTGCCCCTCACAACCAGCTTCAGTCTACACACACACACACACACACACACACACACATAGGAGAAGCAGGTCTTTGGCTGCAGACGAGCAATGTTGTGTGCCTCCCCTCCTGGGTTGAGGAGCGACCAGACAGCCACGATCATTAGATCACATAGTCCAGAAAACAGTTTGCGTGAGTGAAGCTGTGTGTTGTTTAGAGAAGCTCCATTAACAAATAACGTCTTAGTACACGTTCAAACGGAAACTTCCACATTGGCTCTTCTGTCCAGCTGCTGAGGGGAAGCACGATGCAGTTCATTTAACAGCGGGACTGAACTCTACACCAGAAAACCAAAACAATTCAGGGTGAAAAACACAGTTTGTAGAACTTCTACAGGGATTCTTTTGCTTACTGTCCTGACACGTTGCAGTATATTCTGCGTGTGGGAGCCACATTTGTCAGCAGTAGAATTGAATACATGATTGACTGAAGTGTAATAGACTAGTCTGTTTCAGCATCGCCCGCTACAGGGCTTTTATTGTACCTTCCAGCTGGTGAGGCCAATTATTACTTAACCCATAAAACAATAAAACACTCTAAGAGCGTTAGGGACTGAAAACACTATAAAGCCCTGTAATAATGAACAAGTGCTGCGATACATGTTGCATATATGCAATATATAGAAATATACTAAACATGCTGCATAGGGTCTGGATGAGTTACACGTTCCTTAATCCTGTTTATACCTGTTGATTAGTTAGCAGTTGTTTTTTTTTTCATATGGAAAAAGGGTAGTTTAGCCAAACTACAAATAGAGTTGAGGTAAATGGGGTTTCGTATCACTGTGTTGGGAAATTAGATTAAAATAAATTACTAGTAGCATCTGTTTTCAGAATCACTGCCCGGCTTTCCATTCAACATTGGGCAGAGCATTTATGTGCTACCTTATCTCCCTAATTAAACTGACTGTCAAACCACGCTTCAAATGTGAATGCAGGGAATATCAGCATATACATTTTTATTTTATTTCACTCTCTCCACACTGAGATGTTCACCATGTTGGCTCTACCTCTGAAACGGCTGTTTTTCTTTTTCAGAACAGGCTGCCAACCATTTTCAGTGGGACCACAAGGGGTAAGTAAAAATAAATAAAACTGTTCTTGTAATTCAGGGGAACTGACCCTTAATGTAAGTGTTATCAACAAATGGGGTACTTTACATCTTATACACGGTGGGTGAAAAGTAACTAGGCATTAAAAATTGGCTATAGAACTATATCTTTGGCCATTACTGACCTGATGGAGGACATTACAAGTGCCATGGATGAGAAGAAATACACGATAGGAATATTTATTGACCTAAAAAAGGCATTTGACACAATCAATCACGAATTATTAATGTGCAAGTTAGAAAAATATGGGATCAGAGGAGTGG